CAGTTTATATCTATAGCCAGGGACAGCGAGAACAGATTATGGTGATTAAAAAACCCAACATTGGCGGCATTGACACGAGAATGCAAAGAATAAATGTTATGGTCCCAGCAGGAATCGTGGCTAAGCAGCCTGCATGCCCATCAAGTATTCTCCCACAGAGCCACGCCAGGTCTCGGAACTGCTTTAGAAACATACTTTATGCAGGAGTAATACTCCTGAAACGTCAATCGTGGTGGCGTTTTTGACTGTTCAACCTTACACACTTCACATATATACCCGTATGATACCGCCGTCACGTGCGGTTATCGTAAATTTTAGTTGGGTGCCATCCACTGAACCTGATATATGTAGCAGTGTTTAAGCCTACCACACTCGTGAGGTCAAGCGCTACATATCAGCCTATCGCTTCTGCTCTTGCTGATACCTATGTTGCTCTTGGCATCGCGATGCAACAGTTCACTACTCGTTTCATAAAACGTATGCCACTGCTTAATATAAGCTGTGCGTACAACACTTTCACATATCTTTTGCGCCGTTTCATAATGTTTCACTCAATAAAAATTTACAACAGTGTGACATGCTCTCCGCATGCTTCGTATAACATCAATTTCCAAGGTAGGTGTGATCACCGAATTTTCGAACAATCGTTCGACAGAAACTTCAAAAGACATGCCTATTGCAATTTATGTAGAGGATCAGCTAGGCAATGGTATTACCTATGCATACGCGAGCCTTACTGATGTTTTTGTCTCATTGCTGTGGCAATATTAGATAGTGTACACGTCACACCCTATCTTTTCAAGAGTCGGTCTAAACCATATGACAGACCATTTGTTTATGCACAGCCGTTCTCTTATTTCTCAAAGAGTATAACCTTTCCAATGTTTAAAATAAAACCTACTCAAATAATTTCTGTATCCAAGATGCATTCAACAAAAGTGCACAAAAGAAATAAAAGCTTTCATGTTGAAATTTTTATAAGCCCTAAATGGTATGAATGGAAATGGAGAGAAAATAACTCTATTCTATTGATGTCGCGACCATACACAAAAACTCATACATTGAAATCCGGAGGGTAATGTCCGGGCCTCACCTGGTGAACAGTGCTACGCCACGGTCTATTCCTCTTTATCAATAGTTCATGAAATACCCTATTTATGAGCGAAGTATTTCAGTTCTAAATTTTCTTACACAATCATTTGCTTCTCACATTGAAAGCATCACATTCGGACTGCTACAAATATCGTTTTGATAGACACTGATACTTTAAAATGTCGATGTATTTGTACGGTTCCATTTCTGTTATTCATGTCGCTCGGTGCTTCTCATAGTTTTTTTTAAATAGCTTTGCTATCTTAGTATGAGTACACATATAACACCTATAGACGAGTTTAAAGTATTACGTGTGTGGGAGTTCAAGATGATTCGGACATAAATGATATTGTAGAAATATATTGCAAGACACCTATCTTCAGGGCGAAAGATCAGCCGCGGAAATCACCCTATTTTCTAAGTTTGCGTACTGCTCTGTTCGGTATTATGCAAATATAGACTGTCGGCATCCTGTTACTTGTATCGAATAGGGTAGGTATGTTAAAAAACAAAAACCAATTTCGTTTTGCCTTTTTTCCTCTGCTATTCCTTCCGACGCTTAGTTTCTTCACGAATATATTTCATGGGCTATTCTCAGTGAAGCCTGACGGTTCTGAAGACTATCCACGTTTTTTCTTAAGCTTTAGCTAATTGATGCGGGTTGTTTCTACGCTGCTCAATTCTATGTCGTTGCTAGGCGTTACCTCGGTGATGATAAGTAGTTTCTGCATTGATCCTCATTGCAGAGATGCTCGTGTCTAACCACAGGCAGTAATAAACACAACCCTAATGTACACTCTTAAGAGGCCCAAACTCGATCTGAAACCGAACATGAACGTCTCTCATACAGTCACAGACAAGACCCGGACATTCAAACCTCCAAAAAGAAACTCGCCCTGAAATCAAGCCATTGCACCTTTCATAGACGTACACAGGCGGATCATCGAAAGGGTAGGCCTTCCATTTCTTCGGGGTCGTTTTGCAGCCGCCGCGTTGGACGAACTGTTGTCTTGTTTCTTATTAGTGGTTGAGCAATGAGTAGTGATATTTACTCAATTTCGGTAGCACATACACGTTTATGATTATGACACTTTTGTAATTATCCCAGGATTATCGAGATTTCAATCATTTTCCAGTGCTGGGTGAGAGCTACACTGTACTGTACAAAGCTCTGCTTAACTCTCTTGGCTCTCCTTATTGGATGGTGGGTATGCGAGTTCGAATCTCGTCTTGCGAAGAAGCTGCTCCCCTATAATTTCCTCTTTCTGTATCTTTATGTTTTATTTATATCTTTTTCTCGCTGTCTTTCTCTCTCTCTCCCTCTTTACCTCGCCGTTCATAATTACTGCCTTTCTCGCTGGATGAATTGCCCCTTGTCTTTTGCGAGCTCACCAGAAGTAAAAGACGATGACGATGAGGAGGAGGAGGATGAAAATAGCGCGTGCCAATTCATGATGGCGTTTTTCTGGTCAGGACGTACAAACTACGGCGAGCGACCACAACTTGGCTCTTAAAGAAGCATACAAAATAGGAACCTAAGGAGATTGGGGTAATGAAGGGTGAGCGGCAGTGGAGTAAGGAGAAATCTGAATCTGGTGGTTTCAAGAGGACAGCTATGTGCAAAATACACAAATCTCAGATTAAGTCAATACTGAGTGCAAGTTCATGTGCGCAGAAAAAAAGTGGGGCATAGGGTTGTGCGCTGGCGATTCTTCACAGCTGTTGCCTTCTATTAACAATGTTATAAAATGTTTGCCATTGTTGCGCGTAAGGGAAATGACAGCCAACCTAAAGTGGCCTCTACAAACGCACACTCTGCAGCCTTGGCCCATTGTGAGCTTTTTTTACCCGAATTAATGGTAAGAAATTCAAACGACCGAGATCAGTGGAAACCGTCATAAGTCTGGAGTTTCTCACGCGGGGTTTTGCAATACGTATAATATATTTCGAGATCCATTGCCATTTGCGTTTCTGACTTTTCCTATATTTTTATATATATTGGAAAGAATGATGCGACAGTCAGCAGCTGGAATCACATAAACATGCCTGCGTGAGCCCGTGATCAGCACTTATTTTGCAATTGTTTTTTTTTTCAGCGCAGTAAAAACTTTCCGATTATATGGTTTTCGAGAATAACCAACAAAAAAATTGTCAGATGCCACGTACCTGGAAATCGATGTTATGCGAAGCGTGCGGAGAGATGGTAACCAGGTTGCAATATTTTTTATTGAATGACACGTCCCGAAATAACGCTATGTACAAATGTTGCACGCACAGACGTATGTTGAAGAGTTGTAGATGTTTATATAACCAGTTATCTGCACTTGCACACCGATACCAACTAAAACATGCGTATTAGCAACTCAGGAAGCTGATATGAAGCGTTGATGCTCGCGAGGATGCTGGCCCTGGACACTGCTACATAAATCAACTTGAGCGCACGGCAAGTAACCAGAGTTGACGTTTACCCGACGTGACGGCTGTATCAAAGTTGTACATATGTAATGGATTATAAAATTGGGTAGGCAGCACTGCAGCTAGTTACTGTTGACGTTTCACGAAGATTAGTGTCTATTTGAAAAATAGTTCAGGGACTTGGCGTAGCTCCATGGTGAAATTTTTCATTGCCACGCAGAATGTTTTGGTTCGATTCCAGCCGTAACTCTGAAATTATTCTATGCCTTCTTTGGGTCGATGCGACCGATGTCGAGTATTTCTTACCGTTCATGCGTTAAAATTGCGCATGTGTGTTTTCATCGTTCCTGGGTAGCTACTAAGTGTCAATCACTTGTGGCACATACCCGCATACCAGCGGCACATACCTGCTCGTGGGTATGCGCCACTGTCTGGCGGGAAGTGTTTCATGACGTACGTGACGGGATGGTGACAATAATCATGTCTTGACCTGCACGTCACAACCGTCAAGCCATCTTACCCTCCCCTGCTAATTTTGGTTCACGCCAAGTTAAGGGGGTGACCACGAGAGCATCCAAACGTAAGCGGCTAAATACAAAGATACGCTCAATGTCGTCAAAGTTCACTAAGAAATGCGTCGCATTTAAAAATGGGTGCGCCTACTTTTAGCTAGAACTTATATGTTTAGACCTGTACCCTGGCACGCGGATGATTCTAATTAGCAGAAAATGATTTTAGCAACATACAGAATTAATAAGAAGTTATCTTGGAAGAATATCTTGCTATGTTAGCGAGCTCCCGAGACTAAACTTCAAAGAGTGAATTCGCAAAGTTGCATAGATGGTCACTCAAAGCATATGTTTGAGGTTTTGTATCCTGAACTGACTTTGGTATGTGCAGTTGAATAGAAAAACCTCAAAGTTAAACTTTGGCGATGTGCGAAAATGTACTTTGCGTTCATGTTGGTTGTTTATTTTACCAAGTAAATGGAGAGTAGCATGTATTCAAACAGGCCAAACCTGAGAGTTTAATACACCTACAGTTCTACAGGAAGGAAGTATGCCGCACATCGTTCAGTATAGCGTCGGTTGGAGCAGGTAATAAGGTGATTGTAGCAATAATTCAGTATAGTTAGTACAGTTGATAACCTCCAAACAAACTTAAGTTCTCTATTCGTTTTGCTAAGGTCGTTACAAATGTAAACAGAAGATTCTGGCGCTTTTATAAAACAGCAATGAGGCATATTTAGAAGCTGTTAAATGTTCATACAAGAACTGTTATTTATTTTCTCTAACATTCGTAACTATGCAAGGTAACTTTTTATAGGCAAGTAGAATCGTGGAACTACAATGTCGCGAATAGCATTGCGCATCCTTCCACGAAGAAATACGCACCAAGAATTCTCAAAAGCGCCGGTAATTTCAAAGCTAATCCTATACCGCCACTCCGCGGTGCTTCTAATGACTGAAGAACAGAAACAGAGAGGGCGCCACGTTCCCACGGATAGTACTTCTAAGCCTACGCCCACATTTGAAAATTACGTGAGCTGTTTTCTTCGAATATAGGTTGCTACATAACATTACTGACTGAAAGTCATATACCAGTGGCAGAATGTGGCCATTGTTTTAGCAAACTTTTTTTATGTGTTCAATAGCAATCAAGAAACCCGTAGTGTTAGCTTGCGTTGCTGTCTCCGAAAGAAATTTCCGTATTGATACAACGGGGGTTTTCGCGCTTTTACATCTCGTATTTCCAGTGTAGACCGATTTATTTCAGCATAAAAACTGTTACAGGTGCTTCGGATTTCACGGGCTGCGCTAGCAGAGCGTTGTGTAATACGACACCGGTGGCATGCTGGCGCGGCCTGAAGTTTCCTGCGCAGTGGTAGGTTGCCCCGTAGAGCTAGGCTGCACGACACAAGAAAAAGGAACTGTTGAAGACTTCCGAACGGTCAGTACCCTAATTGAACCGTGTACTACTAATCTGAGGCACGGCTGCAGCTTCAGCCTATCGCTTACAGATTAGTACCATGCACTGTGTGAAATAGGGGCACATTAGCGAACAGAAGATGATCAAATATTTCCGGGGCCCTCCGCTACGGCGTCTGCCCTAATAAGATGCTGGTTTTGGGATGTATAACTCCGAATATTATAAATATCAAATTAATCCCGTGATCTGAGAGCGTCCGCTATTTCTAGTGCAGCTATTCGTCACTTGAGTTACGGTGCAATTATGACAATTCTTCGTTTAAAAAGCTTTTCTTCGCTTTCATTAGGTATATATACGTAACTTACGTATGCAATTATATAATGTATTTAGAGTTGATATATAATTTTAGGCAAATAATACAGCTAGAATATAGTTAGCATATAGCTAAAACAAACATATATAGAAAAGCAGGAGAAAGCCTACTTCTGTATAACCACTTTTGTTAGAAGTCACCAAAACTTCATACGGGAAGCCTTTCAAAAACAGTGATCATGTCTGTTTTTTAATTAGTTTTACTGTGAAAGAAGAAGTATTGGACGTGCTGAAGGCAAAGCAAGCGTGCTGAGGTACCTTGCAAAATTTTTGATAACACGAATTTGAACGTTTCTACATGAAGCTAGAGGTAGACTTCTATATATTTGGCAAGAAGAAATCTTAGTATAATAGGAAGCTTCAGGAACGCTTAGGACAAGGAAAGAATTTGTCAGCCCGCGTTATTATAACTCTACAACTATATTTAAATGGAAATTGTCCTAGGGGATCCCTCGAAAGCTCACTTCTGGCTGACCAGCAATGGGCCACCCACCAGACCCACAAAGCGGCTGCCAGGTATTCTCTGTCGGTTCCAGCGTCTAAGACGACTACCCACCGCCCCGCCTGCACCCCTCACCCCCCACCACACACACACACACACACACACACACACGCCACACACGCACACACGCACGCACACACACACACACGTGTGTGTGCGTGTGTGTGTGTGTTTCTCTGAGTGAATAACTCGTTTATGACCTTTACTCCAACTGTAACTCAATGTTGCCACTGCCTTGCATATGTATATGCACTACACTATTTTTAGGAATGCACTTGGGAAGCCTACAAATATTGATATTGGAAACCAGGCTTCTACTTTCTAATGCTTTGGTTTCTATACACATAAACACCATGATGGCATATATCCTACTGTGAAATAGATTATTCAACTAAGATAACCCACGAAAAGGAGAGAAAATTATTTGGTCAAGTTCTTTTAATTCAGTTTGTAGAAGCGGCAATCTGTTAAACTGTATGAATCTGGTTGTCTGTTCTTTTACTCAAGCCTGTCTGTCTGTCTGTCCTCCGTCCATCCGTCTGTCTGTCTGTCCGTCCATCCGTCCTTATGTCTGTCGACTTGACTATTGTGTTTAGAAAAAGTTAATTCTATCATGGGACGCAACAAACCTATGGAACGAGCGTCTGTACAACAAGCACAATAACAAATGACAAAGCACAACATACATTACACATTTAAACAAAAGTGTCCAAGTCCGTGGAGTGTGTTTAGAAAAAAATGTTTAACGATTTCGAGTACTTCGTACTCAACTATGGGAGAGCACTGAGCCGTCCCGCTAAAAGAATACACAGATACTAGTGGACCTGTGATCAAGAGATGGATATCCATTGTGAAACGGAACGACTTGTCTTTTTGCCATTTACGCTTTAACTTTAGTTCCGAAATCCAACCTCATCTACAGCGCCCACCAATGTTGCTCTGGTTCCGTCTCTCTTAATTTTGCGTAGCTTCAATTAAAAAGCAAATGTTGCGCAACTTGAGGCAAAACATCAACAAGTCAATATGCTCTGGCGTGTTTTTTTTATACTATCGAAGTCATAAATAAGTTATTTCTAAGGAAGGTAGCGTTTATTAGGCTAAGCTGACAGTGCAACACCATGCATGAAAAGGCATGTGTTTCCTGCGCTTTGCTAAGACGATACAGTGGTGACACCTACACGCTGCGCGCATCGAGGCACTTAACGCAGCGCCTCCAGAATCCCATTCACTGAATTTCTCGCGCAGAACATCCAATAAATGTCTTATTCACTCTCTCCAGATGGAAGACTATTGACATTCGACGACATTTGCAGTAAACGTGCAGATAGAGGGCGAATTTCGTTTTGCTTTTCCATTCTTCTGTTATTTATGGAAATACGATGTGTGTATATTGTTTGGCGCACGTATAATTTTTAAGTTATAGTTTGCCGTTAACCAAGTGTTCTCAAATAGGTGACCGGCATAATGGGCAATCGCAGGGAACTGTGGGATACGACGGCTTCCGGTTCAACGCATCACGCGGGCTAGCAGCGGCACGCGCGTATTTTTGTACAGCTCCGTCGAATAAAAAAAAAAAACCCTCTTCGTGCAATGTCAGTGCTTTAGAAGTTGGTTTTTGTTTTTGCTGACCATGACTGTGACGATGACAAGCTACGAAAGCCATGAACGGCAAAGAAACTTTTTCATCGCACCAAAATGATCTGCAACGCTTTTATGCTGCGCCAGATTGGCCTAGCAGATCAGTCGATACAGGAAACAGTTCTCATTGTATGATACATTACTGCAGATAAAAAATCACCATTTTAAAGATCTCAGGGGACGGGGATATAGTGTGCTAAAAGTTCATTTCGGGGTCGCTGCTTTGGCTGACATCGTCGGTCTATCTGCATGAAGCGCAGCACTTATTGAGCGAATTGAGATATCTTTTTTTTTCTCGCCTTCTGCGCGCTATGAGATGCATTTCTTAGTCGAATACAAATTCTTATATAAACGCTGATCTTGATTAAGCTGCGCGGCATGGCGACACTTAAACAATACAGTCAGACATAGGCGGCGCTGAATAATCTAAACCCTGCGCTTGCTTAACGCACTTCTTCCTTTGATTGCCGTCCTGGCGCACAGTTTGACCAAGATTAACGCAAATGCACTCGTCCAGCGCTCCGTGTAAACTTACTCTTGAGTGAAGCTCTTGCCTTTTTTGTCATATATACGGGTGGAATGGCTGGTGCCAATCTCGTATGGCAGGTATAGATTTCACCCGCGCTTTCCGATAATATCTTTGCTAGGCGCGCCTGCGCAACAATTTATTTCTCAATATAATATTCACAGCAAATTCATACGTAAGCTTTTTTTAGTGTGGAATACACATGTATATGTTATAAAATTCTTTTCGCACTCTCTGGATTTAACGTTCCGTGTAAACTCAAAAGCTACCTGTCGCCGTGGCTTTCTTCACAGTCACGGCCCACCTCAATATTCTTTCTTCGTTTCGTAGCAATCGATTCATGCATTTGCCTTTCACGCTCGAGTTGGACCAGCCAACGGCTTAACACCGACCATGGTTTATCAGGACGAAGATAAACGGACAACCGCGTGCGCTAATCCCCGATAATCTGAGGCTTGCGGCGAAGCAGTTCACCGTCGTGTACTCTTCTCGAACCGGAAGCCGGTAGCAGACGGTGCATCCCGCAATCCCTCGCTCTGTTACTGGTCACCTATTGTACTGAAGAGTACAGTTCTCTAGGTAATGAAAGTACGTAACCTCTATGTACGCAACCTTGAAAACACAAAAAATCCGGTTTACTTTCGTTCGGGCGCGTAATCAAATAAGTCTACAGCTGAATGTTCAAGAGATTTCATTGAAGTGCCTGTCACAATGAGAAGGCTGAATGAAGGAGGCACCTTAAATATCGATACTAAATCATACCTAAAACACAGTAAATACTACTCACAGAAAACGACATTTCATATTAGCTGTATGACTGAACAGCCTAAGAGCAATGACCAAATGAAAGTAATTTAGTCGAATAAGCACGCAATGAAAGACCCATTTAACGAATATATGCGTTCGATACCCTTTGATTGATTGATATGTGGGGTTTAACGTCCCAAAACCACTATATGATTATGAGAGACGCCGTAGTGGAGGGCTCCGGAAATTTAGACCACCTGGGGTTCTTTAACGTGCACCCAAATCTGTTCGATACCCTTTCACAACTGACTATTCACCGCATAAATTATGCTTGTCTACCACTGATCAAGTGTTTATATTGAAACACAACATTTTAGGCATATATTGTGCCATACTGTGAAACAAGCTGTACTGATTATGACAAGCCTTCAAAAAAGACGTCTGGTATGTGTAATAATAGACTTCATATAAAGCCGAGATCTCATGACAAGCTTCTCAATATACTAACCAGCATTGCACATACTTGCGCAGTGCTGTAGCTATCCGCTTGCGAGGTAGGTATCCGCTTGTTACACTCCTGTTTTTCATATGAAACGTTCTTGCAATGAGACCTGCTGTAGTAGTGTAGCATACGGCCACTTTTTCTAACTATTGTTACTCTGAGAAAGTGAGTTTCTAACTTAAATGCCCTTGAAGACGCATGCTTGCGCATCTAGCAAGTTCATAAAGAAAATTATGCATTTGTGTAAAGAAAATATGCGTTGTACACTTGTTTAGACGCGTAGATTTGATTGTCTTCGCGCTTCTTAAAACCAGCTGGACAGTAGGTAACGTGTCCACTGTGTTTGTTTTGTGGTTTGTAAGATCAGAACGTTTATCCAACACGTTTTTTACATTAGAAAAAAGAAGATTAGCACAACCGATTATATATATATATATATATATATATATATATATATATATATATATATATATATATATATATATATATATATATATTTAAACGTATTTGGCACTGATTCGCTGAGTCATTAGTCATTTTCGCTTACCAAACACCGCGCGTCTGAAGTGCACACTAAACAATTTATTTTTTATCCCCCTCCCCCCCCCCCCCCCCTTGGACATATTTTTGGTCATTCAGACATATTCGGACATATTTTTGGTCATTCGGACATTCGGACATGTTTTCGGTTAAAGTTCTAAGACTAAAGCCACCACACTTCACCATAGCCGTACCATACGTTAGGCTTATACGGCATCATCGCCCGTGTGCGATGGTCGTAGCGAAAAACATGGATATTAATATAAGAAGAATGTCATAGCCGCTCGCGTTGAGTTTCGATCGTGACCGATCGATAGAGATAATATTCGCTTACTTCACTACATAGATCTAAGGCTAACAACGTGGATATTAGAAGTTTCAAGTGCATTCCAGTGCGCTGAAATTGAGTGGTGTGCGCTGGTAACGCTATTCTTTTTTGTTAAGAATATGTAAAATCTAAGAAAACAAATGGAGTACGCTTTACTGCATATATGTGAGGTTATTAGGTAGTGCTAATCCCTGGAGGTGTGCCGGCGTATCTAAAGGTAATCAAGAGCAAGAGTGTAAATGCGTTTTACTCTCTCATTCCCGAGGAGTATATGGGCATTTCACTCTCTCAAAAAGGGGAAGAGTAGAAAACTGTTTCCCTCTTTCGTTTCATACAGAGTGAAAATGAATTACTCTATCTGATGTCTTGGGAGAGTAAAAGAACACTCTGAAGAGTGACTTGGCCTTTTTTACTCCTTCCATATCCTCCGCAGTTTTTAGAATGTGTATATAAAATTCATGAAAACCTATGCGCTTATTACCACTCAAGTATGGTGACTGCGTTTGAAATATCTTTTGTAAAATAAAAAAGAAATAGCAGATAGGTTTGTAACAAGATTTCTCTGTACCGTTCTTCGCCATTTGTGCACAAATAAAGGTTGTATGAAATATCGAGTCACAACGTACCCTGCTGTGTAAAAAAATGGCCCTGTATCTGCATGTTACACTATTCTCAAGAGAGTGAACAAAATGTCTATGTGATGTTCTGCGCAAAAAAGAAATGGTGCATGGCATTCTGGAGGCGCTGCGTTAGGCCGCGTTCACACTGAGCATTCCGGCCGCCGAAAGTGCTCCGAATCCGGTTCGGCGGTGGCGAGATCCGCCGAAAGGGCCCTCTCCGCGCCGATCGCTCTCGGACCGATTTGTGCGGTGTCTGCCGCCGAATCGGTCACCGCGGACCAATAGGAGCGCTAGTCAATTAATTTGAAAAATGGCGGCCAAGCCCTACTCACTTATTATGCTGCAGTGCACGTAACTGAACGTTGAAACCAACGGTAGTTTAACCTACTGTGTGCCTACTTCACCTCCGTATTTCGTAAAAGAGGTGACCGAGCTTGCTGTTGGCGCGACCGAGCTTGTTGCGGTCTTGCAGAGCAAAACAAACCCACCAACGTCGCTGGCGTCGGCGGTTTTTCTGCTCTTCGTGCATTACAAGACAGCCGCTTGCCGGCAAAGTAAGCAGTACTGTCTTTTCTTGCGTACGAGAATCATCGAAATATACACTACCGGATAGCGTAGTGGCGTTTGCGAGCCGCGACAACAACCAGGTGACAGCGCATCCATCCCGCGTTCACCCCGTAGTAGATGGCATATTCGGCGGCGCGGGGCGCGTCCAGTGCGAACGACGCTGTGTTTCGGCGGCAGGGGAATTTCGGTCGCTGTATAAAGCGGATGTTTCAGTGTGAACTAGGCATTAGAGTGCCACGAGCGTGAAGCGGAGGCGAACGAGTGCATCAAGTCGTCACACGTGAGACACGAGCGCTGTCTGGCAGTTATCTTGAAAAACGAAGCGTACGCGCCCTGCGCGCCCGTTTCAGAGGTGATAAGGTGTAGAGCGCAAGGCGAGGGGTAGGTGCCACCGCCGTGTCGTCTTAGCAAAGCGTTGGAAACACTTGCCTTTTCGGGCGAGCGTTGCATGGTCAGCGCAGCGTGATAAACGCTACGGTCCTTAGAATTACTTATGTATGGCTTTTCTAGCAAGAGACACACATACAGAATATTGACGTGTTGTTATGGTGCCTTATATATGCGCAATAATTTCTTTTTCAAGGACAATCGCCGCACAAGTACGAACGCTGAATATTGAGGAATGTTGGTGGGCGCTGCAGATGGGGTCGGCCTTTTGGAGTATCGTTTGGCCACTTTAGTGCCGTTGAGGTTACTGTTAAGGGTGAACAAACAGGCAGGCAGGCAGGCAGGCAGGCAGGCCAAAATTTTTGCGCCGAAGGTCCCCAAGAAAGACTATCGTCTTTAAAGCTTCTGGTAGAATGTTCGCCGGCCTACTCAGTGTGCCTGAGTAGACAGGGGTAATCGGTGCTTTACTCAGAAGATATTGGGTGTGTGGTCTTGAAGTTCATCACCCCAGAAAGTTACATGCTATAAGCTTCTACAACTCATGGGGGCAACATCACTGAGTGACCGCCTGTGAAACCCCCAGCTCTGCGTTCGGTGTTTGTGTGGTGTGCAATGTGAATCTCTTTCTCTCAATTTTTCTCTCTCTTTAATTCCTTATTGCCCTTTTCCTACTAGTATAGTAGTGACTGGGCGTAGTCTAGTTAACTTCGCTAGCTTTTTTTTTACATTAATAAGGATGATAGTCGTTCATGGAATACTTCAACGCTAAATTTTGGTCCGTATGTCTGTGTGTCTGTCGTTTGAATTTTCTGCCTGTCAACGAAAACGATTCAGCTACTAGCCAAAGTTGAACCATTTCCTCAACGCACATCACTCTTGTTCAAGTGTCTGCGTTCATACTTGTGCACATTGTCGAATAAAAAGCCAGTATTACGCATATCTGCATATCAACACATCAATATTTTGCGGTATGTTTTTTATACTATAAAAGGCATAAAAATAGGTAATAAAAGCCCGCAGCGTTAATTGCGCTGCACTGGTAATGTGATGCTATGCACGAAAAGGCGGGTGTTTTCTACGCATTGCTAAGTTCGCACAGTGGCGGCACCTACCCGTCGATTTGCATTCTACAAGTTGTAGCCTTCGAGATAGGGCGCGCTCGCCATCGCGTGCATATCGGAAGCCATGCACAAACAGATCCTTTCATTATCAAAGATTACTGCCAGATGACACTCATAACTCACACAGCGCTTCAAGAATTCATTCACCAAAATTTCTGGTACAGAACATCAAATAACTGCTTTTTTTTATTCACGCTTTGCAGTCGGAAGACGTTTGACGGGATTTGCAGAGAAACACGAAGATCCGAGGCCTAATTTGCCCTTTCTTCGGTGGTTCATTATTCTAAAAAACATATATTCCCTAAACGTGAAATAACCTTATCGTCTTACGCGGTAACGTATATATGGTATCAACTTTTGCATTTAAATTATGCGTTTTCATGCATGTGACACAAATATGAAGCACGCTGTCACCAAGAGCTCCGCATTTTATCCATGAGGGAGTATATTTCTTGTCTTTAAAGCTGCAGCTAATTATGCGTCCCCAAGTGTTGATATATATGCTTGCTGCGAAATTCACCAATCGTAGCAGGTTGGCAGGTAAAGTGAGTTTACCTTTTCGAGTTTAGAAGTTCAAGCTGTTAAAATACCATGACGTGACGCGCCTAGTACCCAGAACATGTTGGATAGGTCAAAAAGTCTACACGACAGTTTTACAGTCTTCCAATGGTCTGCCGATAGGCCAGTAGTTTGCTTCGTGTACAAGTCAGCAAAACAACCCCGTATTTGATCTTAAAATGAGTGTCATTTTTGTTCGAATGGCTTTCCTACATTTATATTTTTTCTGCCGTGTTACCGCTAGTTTTTAATTAAAAAAGAAAGTTTTTTTATTCTATTACCGCTCATTAGATATATGCTTGTCTTGTCAATCGCAACAGTTCATCTTCTTCATTCACAGAAACCAATGAATACAAGGACATTCAAGGTCGTCAGCCTGCTTTGGGCAGCGATGGCCTTGTGTCTGCTTGTTGGTCAGACGGAGGGAATAGTATGTTCACCTGGCGTCTGCGAGCAAGAGACGTGTGAACCCATTGACGAATCTACCTGCGACGGAATTGTGAAACCACGAGCAACTTTCTGCCAGTGTTGTCCGGCTTGCATCAGACTTCTCCGTGAGTGTCTTTGTTTGTTGTTCATCACTGGCTATCCGAGAATAATCTGGATTGTGGTTACAAAGTAAAGCAAGTAAAATTAGATGTCGTACGCTAGATAATAACATCGCCGGTATTTTACGTGGCTACAGAATAATACCATAATGAGACTCGCCATCGTGCAAGGCTTTGTAATATATGCATAACTTGGGATCTTTGATTATGTACCTAAATAGAAAACCACGGGCCTCTGTACTTTGTCGTTCATCGAAATGCGACCACCGTTATCATGATCGTACCCGGAAGAAACGGGTCAGTACAACCGATAACCAAAACTGTGCTGATCGGTCTGCGGGTTAATAAACAAATAACGTGGTGTGATCCCCTTAAAATTTGGCCACATGCTACAATCGCAATCGACGACGCCAAATTGTTAATCTATGCTATAGGCTGCGAAGCAAAGTGTAAGCTTTTGTTAAAAGCGGACATTGCCACTCAGTCATTTTGCAGTTAATCAGGGTAACAGACTTTTTTGATTCACTTACGTCCAGATATGCTTGTATACAAGCACTGGCAGTGCTTCAAAGCAAGAAACATTCTAATTGAGCAGGATCGCAGGTTGACATTATACAATTAGAAGTAGCTCATAATGGATATCTCGTCTAGTAACATAATGTAACAAGGCAGCAGCCGCAGTAGCGTTTTCTTGTAACTGTATGGCCCCAAAGTGAACATGGTAACTACGCATTGGAATATCAGATCGTTATGTTTTATAAATATATTGAGCGTAATAGCTCACACATTCTGCTTGTCTTTTCTTTTCTATTCAGTGATGCTTACAAATGGTTTAAGTATGAATTAATTTAACTGGCGGTATTGTGATGAAGTCTCAAGTCATTTCTGCGCAGTTTGGAAGATGTTTTCATCCAATCGATTCAGAATGTTTCTGTCCTTCTCGAAAAGGATAAAAAACTTGCCTGCAGATTAGCTCGGCTATGCTAGGCTATGCGTTGCGTGAATTACGGTTGGACGGATTGACGTAAGAGGCCTCCTCGGACATGCGCAGTATACCACTCTTGATAAGCCATGCGGAGCTGCTCAATCTCGGCCAGCTTAGCTTACGCTTCGAAATTGTGAAACGCTTGAGCTCTGCCTTTAAGAGCAGGTATTGATAGCGTAAGCCTAGTGCGTATGTCGTGTCTGTTCTGCTGTTTTGGCTATCGGCGCATGCATGAACCATGCCTTAAAGGAACGAATGACTGTGCGCGTATCATCGGCCGTTTCAAAGTACCGCTAAATGCCTACTGCAAGCATGGCTATTTAGTGCCCACTGCGCCACAATTGAACCTACACAGATGTCCACTTTGTTTATGCAAACTACGTCTGAGCGCTCACACCTTTTTACGCTTGGCATGATGCTACCCTTCTGCCACGCGATATATGGTGGACTAAAGAGACTGCTTTCACAACATGACATTCATATAAAGTTTCCTTTCTCAAAGCCGTTTCAACAAATATTCTTGCTCTGTTGTAGAAGACCCGCTCTCCGCGCGAAGGCCTGAGGTCAATCCTCACTCGAACGACGAAATACGTGTTACCTTATTTATTTGCAGCTTTCTCAATTTTTCGGTCACGGGTGAGGCTATGATTCATTGCCTGCAACGAACGACGCCTTCGCCGGCACCGCGATTCCTGCGAAACGAGCTGTTAAATGCTCCCACGTTAGAATGTAATGACGCGATAGAGGACTAATGCACAAATGTTGAGCTCAAAATACGTCCTCTAATACTGTTTGTAAGTTATCTCTATTGCACGGGCAAAGTCCCTTTTTAGCGCATAAAAGTGAGAAAGTTTGTACCCGAGAAACTCCCGTGTCGTGTTCAGAATCTGTGTCAGCATCTTTAGTATTGAAGGAAAGCCGAACGTTGTTCAGGTGTGACAGCTCACGATGGGTGGAAACAACACAAAATACGAGTGGAATCAAAATTCAATCTCCGGTCTTTGACGTTGCGAGTAAGTGTTTCACTACAGAGCCACGAAAGCGCTTGAAATTTCAAAGAAAAACAACAACACAAAAGTACCTATAATGGTGTGATGTATAAGGCAAGGAGTCGAGTTATTACATGTAATACTGCGTGCCAGAAGCGTAAAATAGCACCAGACATCCCGCCAGGTGGACACTGTCACGAACAGTGTGACAGCATTCGCCTCTGCCTAAACAGTGGCTATACATCAAAATTCAGAGACGTAAAGGTTTAAATTATATTAAGACATTCAGGATAGATAAGTTCCTGTTTAAAATGAAACGTGTAAACATGTTTCGGAGTTCCTGCAAAGCAGGTTTACTGTTGAGAGTGAGCATCTTAGCGCAATTAGTACTATCAAGCAGAATTGATCATCCTAATAAAGTTGGCGTTATGTCATGTCTGTTCCAAACATGCCGTCATTCATTTATTCCCAGAACATCAGTTGACTGGAACCACCTTCCCGGATATGTGGCCATCTTGACCAATCACCACTTGTTTCGTTCTGCACCAACTAGCATTGTATAAGCGCCTACAGCTATTTACGTGTTCTCTTTGTACACAATGCTTATATTTTGTTTGTTTTTTATTTTTATTATTAGCTAACATTGTACGAGTAAAAATCGTGTTTCACCCCCCCTCCTTTACATATTGCCACTGACCCGGATGGTATACGAAATAAATAAAAAATAAATAAATAAATGTTTTCCCGCTAACACTTTTTCCTTATTTTTTAAGGGGAAAACGACTCCTGCTTCAGTCTTCTGCTCAGCGGAGGAGGGCCACCAAAGGCAGAATGTGGCAAGGGCCTATACTGTGATCCCAGTACAACAAAGTGTGTTCCTCTGCAAGCAGCGTGATTTCAATACCTTGCAGTTTTGTTAGTGACCAACGCAGTAGCAATATGGCTATCGTTTAGCATCGAATGTTCAACGAAACAAATGATGAAAAACTAATAAAGTTCTTCTGTTCCCTGTGTTTGGGTGTGCATGCCTTCATGATATTCCGACGTGTTCTCAACCCGTGCAGGCTGCATATCCCTTTGCGTATCCCTTCACAATTCACGCTAGCGCTCACAAGAGCTTTTTTCTAGAGAGTGCATAGGGCAGGGATCACTTTCTGATTCAAGACGCGTGCTTCTGTCATTTATTGTAGCACGCATCCATCCAGAGCACTACCGAGCACATAAGCCCGCCTTTCATGCTAAATGCCAAACTATGCATTTCGGGTATCAAGAAATAACCACAGATAAATGGATATAAGATATGCGTCACTTAAACGGACCTAATCTCCTTGTCCATCCTAAATGTATTGGTATGAATGATGTAGGCATTCCCCCGGATTTTAGGTACCAATATTGTTGAGACTGAGAAGATTCTCGCACCCGCGTTGCTCTGGTTGAACACTTGACCCCCTTTTTTTTATTGTGTGCTTACGAGAAGCCCTAGCATTTACCTGCTCCACGCTTCTTGGGCCCAGCATGGCGTTTGCATTCATCGTTTTACCGCAGTAGGTTCAAAAATATTTGCTAAGGCTCCACCAATTCCGAGCTTGTTGTCGAGCTACTTCTTATTGACAATTCAGGTTTCTAACAGTATTTGCCATTGTAGCACGTCAAGCATGCCCATGGCCAGAACAAAGGCCCGCCGCGGCGAGGGGACGCCTTATTCTTGGGACAAGTGGTGCCATCGCCAAAGTAATTACACTTGTGCTCGGTACGGCATCTCCTTTAACCGGCTCCGCCCACTCACCTGCTCCAACGTTTCTTATCCTTGCTCGAATCCCTCCAGTCAACCAGCTGCATTTACCCTCCCCTGTCTTCATCATCCCCTTTTCTATCCTCTCTCTTAACTCGACACCTCTCTGCTCATGTATGTTTCACCCTAGCTTCCTCTACAACATCTCCTCGTTCCCACTCCAGCATCACTTCCCTTGAACTTTTCTTCATTCATTGGGATTCTCTGTCAGTTGGTTTATGCTATTATTTCTGAATGAATGGATCGATGATGAGAGTCCCCTTTACAGGTCTCCCACCAGAATCCCCATGACAAGTCTTAAACCAAAATCAACAAATGAAAAGAAACATTCTTAAGGGGCGAAGCTCTATATAACGACACCAGATCGTTCCTCATAGCCGTTGTAGTATGTAACAAGTATAACATTTTGACCTCCAAGGTGGTGCCGGTGAGAGATTTCTTCTGTGCGTTGTTGAACAATATGAAATAGTGCTCAATGTACATGCCAATGGCTGCTGATGGGGAATGAGAGACGGGAGCATTCGGCTTTTAGTTAACGCGCACGCTGCAATCCCCATTAGCAGTCATTGGCACGTACATTGAGTACTATCTGACAAGAAAGGGTTGTCACGATATACTCGCGGGGTGTAACCTCCTTAGTTTTCGAAAGGTTTAGCGAGCGTTGAGCCGCAGTGCCATGAATGCAATGAACTAGTACATACCATGAATGAACTCGAGGTGGTTAAAGTTGGGAAGTAGACACGAAGCGCAAGCCGTAAGAAAGTGTGCGTGTGTCACCTCTCGTTTAGTCTTTGGAATGTCCGCTGGATGGCGGTGCTTCTATATGGAGAATATATGATGAAAAGATGCGAGATGGTAGTACTTGGAGTGTTGAATAGATGGACGAACGGACGCACAGACAGATGCATGGATGGACGCATGAACAGATGCAGGGACGGACGCACGAACGGGCGGATGGACGGTCACACAGACGGACGCATGGACGGACGGAAGTAAGAACGAATGAACGGAAGAATGCTTCGCCTCACTCTCCATCATTCACTTCGTGGATATGCTGCCAATTTTTTTCTTTCCTTTAATAGTAGGCCTAACACATTAATTAAACAAGAAAAAATGACGCAAGTGAAAAACTCGGTTCAATTGGCAGCCCACTACGGATATCTTGCGCAGTCAGGCAAACACTGCCTCCAGCTTCTATTTCTGTTCTGTACGAAACAGTTCTCCCTATTTTAGCCTGCCGTGTCATTGCATTTCGCTGTGCTATGACGCACCGCTGGGATGCATAGGGACGCGACGTACGTTGCCTGTATAGACAGCTTCGTGTGGGTGTGCAGCGGAATGTATGCACGTAAGCTTACAACCAATGCTGGAGAAAGAGCACGATTTTTATTGTGCGCGGACTGCACCAGGCTAGGTCCGGGCGCTCAAAGCGGCAGTACACTGAACGCATCACTGGGTACTCGTGGCGCTCCAAGCGATAGTGAGGGCGTGTCACTATAGCCTCCATCGTCAACCTATTGAGGTAGCGATGGTATATAGGTTTATTGAGTCATAGATGTAACTGGACATCAGGAACGTGGTATGGAGGCTTTAAATATGGTGAGTGCCTCATTGGCGTGTGTGTTACAGACTCTTGTTTTTTCTATACTGCTCATCAGCTTGGCATAAGATGCGACGAACGCCGAGAGAAACATTCCTGAACCGTTCCGTCAGCTTCTAAGCATTGTTGTGCGGTTCCAATAGACATGGCTAATATTTGTGCGTTATGGCATCGATGCTGGCGCCACCGTAGTTCCTGCATGAGGTCCGAAGTGATAACATTTGTCTGTGCAAAGGTGCGAAAATACCAGGTTAGCGAACGACGATGTCGACATCTTATGTAGCTTCGCGCCACCATATTCACTGTACACGTTTGTTACTGCCTATAGTATATATGAGCGGAAAATATCGAAAAGGCAACTCATTCGTAACCATTCCGCTGCAAGGGACCTACAAAAGAATTGAAATTCACAATGTTTCTGCAATAACTATTTGTGCTTGCTTGCTTCATCCTCACCCCGCTGGATGGCGCCTGTTATGCAGCCAGTCTGGGAATCTAGGCCTTTCACTTCTAAAAACCTGATTTTAGCTCAAACACAAGACACACTCACACACACACACACATACACTATCCCAGGCATCAAAGACGCACAGCGCGTACTTGAGTGGACACTGTGCATTGAGCGCTGTTCTTGTTTGATGCTTGGGTGTGCGGGTGCGTGAGTGGGTCGTTTGTTTGCGCTTAAAATAAGTTTCTAGAAATATGATCTACCAACTGCCCCAACAACACGTTCTGTTACACTAGGCTTTTCGCGTTTACGGCTTCGGTATTCTAGGTTCTTCTAGCTTCGGTAAGCCGGCTGAAACAAGGTGATTGAAAGTCACGCTCGCCGTTCGGCTGCTTTTGACTTGATGGCTGGGGCCCCCGAAAAGCGAATATGGCGTATATATATAGCCATTAACGAAGGTGCCTTTCTAAGGTGTGGACATAAACGTAAAGACTGCCATCCTCCGGGATTCTTTACGGTCTCGTAATATGGTAATGTAAAAAGTATACGTAGAAGCTAAAACCCCATATTATAACACACACGTGAACAATTTTCAGCACAATTTTCTCAAGTGCTTATTAGTAATTTGGGGCTATGCCAAATTGTGAAAACTGGGCAGTCGGATAGACCAATTTCTTCGCTACTGTAATAAAGTCACAGAGTATATTCGTTTTAAACAATATGACTGATTCCTAAATACTCTTGCTTATTCATCAAGAGTGGCGTTTTGGCTGTTTCATATTCCGGATATACCGTGTAGCCAAGCAACAGTTGCCTCTATCAACTATTCAGCTGCACAAAAAAAAGGTGCATTTATGATTCCACTCCGCTACGTTTGCTGATCGGCCTGCAATCACGCACCTGTCGCATCCTGGCCTAGTGTATAGTACCTATGCGTTTTGAGACGTGGTCGCAAAATTACGCCAGACAACTCCAGAGCTCAAAAGTGAACTGGAAGCCCTCCAAGTGGTATGTGCCTCAATTATTTTTGCTTTGGAAAGTTCTTAATACAACAATACACATGTGCCTCATGCGTAAACACTGTTTGACAAGCGAATAAGCAAGCCTGAACCTATGCAGCAATTTTAAGTGATTCTCGCAAAGTGATATCGTTTCTTGACATAAAAGATCGCTCACTACTTTGTTACGATTTGCCTTACCTTCACTACGTGAGAGTACTGTCAGGTCTTCATCTAAGGCCTCCCGTAATCATATGAGATGTGTCGGAAAATAGCGGCTTCTAAACAATGATATCAATTCAATTGTAGCTTCTAATTAAAAAAAATCGTGAAGTATTCGCGGTATAGCGTTATCTATTCTAACGTCCCAGCTGTAACAGCGCAAACAGGTGCTTACGAATTGCTTAATTTCTTGTCAAACTATTTTCTCACTGCGGCGAAATAAAGAATTTGGCTGTTCGTACTATAAAGGTAAAATTAACAGCCAGAACATCCAGTATTGCTGTTTGGTATGTATTTTGGAGAAAGTTAGAAGTGACTGGGCTAAAAAAAGCTTCTCTCATAGCCTAAATTCAGCCTATTGGCGTAAAAAATATTTCTAATGTTGTTTTTATGGTCTGCTTACGAGGAAGTAAGAGAGCAACAGGATTGGCATTTAAGAAATGAAGTTAATGCTATCAGTGCAATAACAGGTCGTATTTATTAAGATAATGTACATTTTCAACTCATTTCTTTGATTTCAGGAAACTAGGGACTCAGCTATTGCAAAAAGTCAAGCAATTTCTATTTCCGTTAATACGCAAATAAGTTTCGCACTTCGTGAAATCACACACACACACACACACACACACACACTCACACACACACACACACACTCACTCACTCACTCACTCACAAGCAAACAAACAAACAAACACACAAGGTGAACTTTGCAGCTGGTTATTTTTGAGTGTTGTCGTTGTGAAACCTAAGGCCAGAGGACAACTTTGTCTTAACATGCTTGAGCATTAGGGTTTGAATCTGGTGGTCCTCTTCTGTTCTTCTTCGCGACCCTTGCTGCCACGCAAAGAGATTGCCGCCTCCTCTTCCTCAATATGTCCTTGTTCTGAGAGGAAAAAGAAAGCTAGCTTACTATAGAAGTGCACAACGCTAAACGACCAAGCTGCTCTTTTTGG